TACTAAGAAACGATTTCGACTAATAATGGTAAATAGAAAAAAATTAGTATATTAAATAATTATTTTACTTTATATAACCTATATATGTACGTATAAGACCCCTAAAAATAAATACATATAATAAATTAGCCCAGTGAACTCAAACTAAAAGGTCTCTGGCCAGTCTAATGTATACAGTCGCGATAGTATCATCGCTTAGACATGACCCTAAAAATAAATACATATATATACAGTATATATAAATTAGCCCCGGAGAACTCGAACTAAAGGGACTCTGGCTAGTCTAATGTATATGATCGCAATAGTATCATCGCTCACACACGCCGTAATAAGCGTACTCTAGATACTGCTTACTAAGAAATGATTTCGACTAATAATAGTAAATAAAAAAAAAATTAATCAAATTTCAAGTATTCTGATTATTAAAAACATAATATATATTAAATAGGGGTCAGAACAGAATTACGTGAATAAATAGAATTTTGGCGAAACAAAGAAAAAAAGCAAAAAAATTGAAACAAAGTCAACCTAATTTAAAGACGACCCTAATATATGGGGTGGTCAATAGAAACCAAGCAAATTTATCTAATAAATTAGCCATATATTATAAGAATGGTTTGATTGCGCGTTCAGTGTTTATTTTGTACCCGCATCTGTGCGGGGCACAGAAAAATAAACACTGATCACGTTCTATTTTTTTTATTAAAAACAATATATACCGGTACGTACGTACGTATGTCTAATTGGCTGATATAAAAAAGGCTTAGACCAAAAAACTGTAACATAAAAATAAAGATAATCAATTTCGATATATTTTTAATTTGTTTTCGTACCATTCCTCACCTATATGTTCCCCCCGAGACTGAATGTTCCCCCAAGTCTGAACGCTCCCCTGAGGCTGAAGGTTCCCTCAAGTCTGAAGGTTCCCCGAGTCTGAAGGTTCCCCCAAGCCTGAATGTTCCCCCAATTCTGAAGGTTCTCCCAAGCCTGAATGTTCCCCCAATTCTGAACGTTCCTCTGAGTCTGAACGTTCTCCAAGTTTGAATGTTCCCCCAATTCTGAATATTCCCCTGAGGCTGAATGTTCCCCCGTGTCTGAATGTTTTCCCACGCTTGAGCGTTTATGTTCTTCCGAGTACTCCGGCTCCACCATATGTTCCTCCATGTCCTCTTGTTTCCTTGAGGCTGAATGTTCCCCCATGTCTGAACGTTCCTCCATGTCTGAACGTTCCCCATGTCTGAACGTTCCCCTATGTCTGAACGTTCTCCCATGTCCGAACATTCCCCCGAGTGCTCCCCGATAGGTTCCTCTGAACCTACAAGGTATAGGTATTTATAAGAAAGTTATTGAGTTATGAATGAGTTAGTTTGCATTGCAGTAATTGTAA